TATGCCTATTGTATTTGCCTTGACGGCAGGCAAGATTAGCTTGTTGAATTAGACGGCGATCTACTCCATAGTTCTCATGGAGTTACATAGAAGAAATTCAAATACCATGCCTTTAACACATCCTATGCTATTATTACTTTTGTCTGTGTCACCGTAAGCTGTGAGCTATTGATATAAAGGAGACATTGCTTTTTGGAGTGTATACCAAGTAGTATACATCGGCAATTCCAGCGGTGGCTGCTACCCGGGGGTGTCCCCGCAAGCGCAAAGGCGGGCGAACTTCCCCACCGTTACTCAGGCCTGACTCATGTGGGGTCGCTCCACTGGCTGATGCCTGAGGTGCCTGATGTTGCCTGAGTTCCTCATGGCTTCTACTGCTCTCGGCAACACTACCCCCTCGACATCTGCCGAACAGTCCCCCAATTACTTTCCAACTTCCCATATTGTATGCAACCCATCCAATACTCCCAAACTCTGGTCTCATCCATCCATCCTGACTTGCTGTCTTGGAATCAGCTGGCCCGGATATCCGGATGGCCAGCGGTCTGATTAATTGCTTCATAATGGCTTCCCGCTTGGACCGACTCCACCAGCTCAAGTATATGAGCCTGCTGGAACCTGCCCCGGCTCTCCTCCCCATATATCACGATTCATGACTCTATAAACGCACTATCCTCTTCTCAAACTCCCCTTTACCCCTACAATAGCTCCTTTCCTGAGACCTACCACCCATCATGCCCTCCACAAGTGACCTCGCCGACCCCAAAGAATACCAGAAGATCTTCCACTGGGCAGAGACACAGAAGGATGGCACCATTCCCTCCTTCGCTACCAGGCGGAATGATCCGTATGAAGTACGTGTCTTGTGCCAATGCCTATCCTCTGCTTACTGTCGCTAACTCAAGCGTAACAGTACCAAGCCGGATTCGGCAACTCGTATGTCAAAGCGTTCTCCTGCATCTAGCGATTCAACTGGCTGATGTAGTTAATCTACTAGGTTCGCCTCCGAGGCTGTGCCTGGCACCCTTCCACAGGGCCAAAACAGCCCTCGTAACGTCCGCTTTGGCCTGTACGCCGAGCAGATGACGGCCACGGCTTTCATTGCCCCGAGACATTGCAACAAGAAAGCATGGCTGTACCGTGCCCGTCCGGCTGTTGCCCACCAGGGATTCGTATGTTGGCAGGTCTATTATTGACAGTTGCTACATACTAACTTTGACTACAGACTGATCTTCCTGACAACAAGGACACAGAATCCAACTTTCTCCCTTTGAACCCCCGCGTCCATGTCTCCCCTACCCAGCTTGCCTGGCACCCTTTTGACATTCCAACCAATGGCGAAGTAGACTTTGTCTCTGGTCTGAAGACCGTGGCTGGCTCCGGCGAGCCAACCCTCCGAGAAGGCTTGGCCACCCACGTCTACACTGCTAACACCAGCATGACCAAGAAGGCTTTTGTCAACTCGGATGGTGAGATGGCCATCGTCCCTCAACAGGGTGCACTGGACATCCAGACCGAGTTTGGCCCCTTGTTCGTCCAGCCTGGAGAGATTGTCATTATCCAACGCGGCATCCGTTTCCGCGTAGAGCTTCCTGATGGGCCTTCTCGTGGTTACATCCTTGAAATCTGGGGTAGTCAATTTGAACTCCCTGAGCTGGGACCCTTGGGTGCCAACGGTCTCGCCAATGCACGGGACTTCCTCTACCCTACGGCCAAGTATGAGATCTCCAAGGAGCCTTGGGAGATTGTGTACAAGCTGGGCGGAAAGTTCTTCAAGAGCACACAGAACCACAGTCCTTTTGACGTGGTTGCCTGGCATGGCAACTATGTATGCTACTCCCCTGTCCAGCATGTTTCCAACCAAAAGTAGACTAATATATCATACAGGTGCCTTACAAGTACGACATGACCAAGTTCGTCAACGTCGGCTCCATCTCTGTTGATCATATGGACCCCTCCATCTTCTGTGTCCTTACAGCCAAGTCTCGGGATCCCACTGCTCCTTTGGCCGATCTACTCATCTTCTCTCCTCGCTGGGATGTTGCATCGCGTACGTGCCTCCCACAAAGTGAAATCACTTGACTCTCCCACCTCGCTAACAATAACTAAAACAGACACCTACCGCCCTCCATACTACCACCGCAACGCCGCCTCCGAACTGATGGGGCTCATCTACGGTGACTACGGCGGTCGTTCCGACGCCTTCCAGCCCGGAAGTGTCTCCTTCGAATGTGGCAGTAAGCATCACCCCAATCCCAACCCAGAGAGACCATCCATCTAACTCACTGAACAACAGTGGTCCCCCACGGCGTCGCCTACGAAGAATTCAAAGCCGCCACGGAAGTGGACCCGCCAGCGATGCGCATCTCCGAAGCCTCAATGGCATTCATGTTCGAGTCGAGTCGCCCATTCACCATCACCGACTACGCCTGGACAAGCAACAAGCGCCACGAGCACGAGCCTAAGATGTGGGATAACCTCGTCGACAACTTCTCCAAACATGAGAAGGAAGTCGAGGAGTTATTGGCCAAGAAGGCTCAGGGGATGAAGATCTAAATTTTGTATAGCATTTCTATGCTGTGTTTTGTTTTGTTGTTTTTCTCCCTTGAGCCTAGCCTTTGCTTTTCTATGTGTGCGTGTCCTTGTTTATTATGCCTGTGATTTGTCATGATTGTAATACTAGATGTCTTGTCTTGTCTGTACATATTTGAAGACACTAGTCGTATATGCCAACATTACCTTTGTATTGCTGAAGAAGTGTGACGTGTGCATGACGTATAGTATATTCAGGTACCATCAAATTTACAAAGTTCACCACTTCTTTGCATTCGTTGAAAATAGAAAGAAGAGTTGGGAAGCTCATCGAATAGAGCAGAGGACGGGCAACAAAGCAGAACACATTCCAGCAAATGCTCAGGTATGCCTGAAAGCATGACAGATGGGTAGAAATTGATTAACGACTACGGTTGGTCTGTCATATTGGGCTCAAAGCTCACAATGCATGTGTGGTGTATGTCTACCTGAAGCGCATACCGGTTTCAGGCAGCGACACCACCCCACCGGGTGGCAACAGGATACCAAAATGCACATTGTATGTATTATGACGGTATAGAAAAACGAACAAGTCTCGGAACGTCTTTTATTTTCATGAATTGGTATCAACACGGTCAGAAATACGGACATACAATTATTTAGGCCAGACCGCCTTGGTTGTGTCTTTCTGTTGCCAAACGTCCCTGGAGCCCTTTCGAAGGGTCGGAGAACCTCAACTTGCCAGAGGTGAGCCGGTTATGTCTATCACAAAAATCAAATCACAGGAAGTAGTCGGGTGTGCGCCTCGAGACCATGGGTTCTCCTGCGCGCGGGCAGGGATCGAATTGTAAGCTGTAGATTGCGTCAGTAAATACTTTCTCCGATTGAAATGGTGGGGTCACCGCATACAAGGTATATTTCAGATGCTCGTCAATTTCCATAATTGCGGCTTGGTTACCGCAGCGGTAGCAGTAGTTAGGAGCTGGAGAGACATAGTTAGCCATGACCGCCATATCACGCGTGATGTGAGCCAAATTCTGCAGTGCAGCATACCGGAGAAAATCGTGACCACATTTCTATCCTGGGACCAGTTGTAACCCTCCATTACCAGCTGGTGCGCCCGTGCCACCAGAGTCAAGCCATTGTTGTGATTAAATGCCTCCGAAATATCCTGCCCGAATGTGTATCCAGCACCACGGGGAGAGATACCCCAGCCGCATCGGTCGTCGGGGTCACTCCACAGAAGGTCGCACATGGGACCCTCGTGCGGGACCTCCTGAATCCGATCCAGAGAGCGGATGTTGTCGAGGGTGTCGATCGACGGACTCAGACCGCCGTGCAGACAGAAGATCTGGTTCTCGATAAGTGCGGTGAGGGGGAGGTAGTCGAAAAGGTCGGTGAAGTATTTCCACACGTTAGCGTTGCCGTACTTGCGCAGGCACTCATCGTAGAAGCCGTAGACTTGCGTGATCTGGCGCGACTCGTGGTTTCCTCGCAGGATGGTGATACGCTGGGGGTAACGGATTTTGAGGCAGACAAGGAGCGTGACGGTCTCTACAGAGTAGTAACCACGGTCGACGTAGTCACCTAGTGGGCGGGCGGGTGAGCCAAGGGGGACGACTGGCATAAGCGGTAACACGCCAACTCACCCATAAACAGGTAGTTTGTATCCGGATTGGGGCCACCAATGCGGAACAGCTCCATCAGATCATGGAACTGACCGTGTATGTCACCGCACACAGTCACTGGACATTTCTATAGATTGGAAAGAGTCAGTCCCGATCGGTCGCAACGGCCGCGGGGCCACGAGCAGAGCCGGGCAGCGCGGGAAGGCAGGCCACAACAACAACAGCAGAAAAGTCAATCACATACCACGGGCTGCACGTTCGACTCATCCTGCAGAACCTCTCTTGCCTATGTAGAAAAACACGACCACGATTAGGACTATTCATTTTCGAATACACCCAAATTTCCCAGCAGAAGCGGCACACACCCGATCACAAAGCCTCCGGACATCTTCCTCCGCTAGTTGCTTGCAGGTCATCAAGCTTTCGATCCATCCATCGAGGGTGGGTATGGACCCCGGGTCGGTAGTCGGGGAGAGGTGGTGAGGTTCGGGCGACCGCGCCGTATCGATCTCCATGTTATTGTCCATTGAAAGTAACCACCAAGAGCGAGAATAAGGGTGGTGGTGGGGGGAAAGAGAGCGAGTTCAAGATGACTGCAACCGAGGGGGGTTGGTGGAGCGGGACCAACTGGGGAGGGGAGGTCTCGTGAGGGAGGCGTGGATTTCTTAGAGGGGGGGAACCAGGTCGGTCGGACGAGACACGGTGCACCAACGGAAATTGAACGACGGACCAAGAATGGGACAGCAAGCCCTGTCACCCACAGATTGAAGAAAGATAAGAGGGGCAAATAAGGGGGTTTGAAATGTGGAGGGATTGGGGGGGAGGGGAATGACAAGAGAGAATGAGGAAAGGGAGGTGTGAGCTGGGATGGCGGTGGTCGCTGGTGGCTGCTGGTAGTTGGTGGTGGTCAGAGGTACAACTAGCAGTATGTTCTTGCTGCTCGTGCAAAACTCGCCCAAAACCAAAACTGGGCTTCCCAAGTCCGTGCGCCACACCGCCCGCCTTCCCCTTCCAGCTTGTGCATCAGCCACACTTACCCTGTTCTTATTCTTTTTTCGCCCTTTTCTTGCCCCAGAAATTATTCCAGCTTTCTATGGTACCCGCCACAAAAAGCATCGGTGTGGAGGGGAACAGAAGAACAACAACACACTTATTGAATTACTAATTGCACGAGATAAAGCATACCAATTGGTTCATAACAGAATAACACTAATCTCAACATTCATATACATACAAAGATCATATCATCACTCATTCTGTGTCATCACGTCGTGCACTAACTAGTTATGTACGGTGTAGTTTTCAAACAAACTTTGGTCTGCAAAAGTTCCCGCCCCCAAGCCTCAGCCGCCGCGCTTAAATGATGTCACCACCAAATCCCCCGAACCCTCCGCCAAATCCGCGTCCCCCATACGGCCCCTGTCCTCGTCCAAACGGTGCCCCTTGTCCGGGACCTACCGGATCATACCGCGAGCCTGGTGGTGCTTGAGGATCGTACCCTTGTCCACGAGGTCCACCAAACAGAGGATCATCGAACGTGGGGTGCATGCCACCACCGCCGCCACCTCCCAGCCCAGGGCCTATACCTCCTCGCAAAGGATCATTCGGACCTAGTCCCGCTGGGTACAAATCTCGGTCTCCAATGTTCATCGGGTTTCTTCCTCCCATACCTCCCGGGTATCCTCGAGGGGGTCTCTGGATCTCGAACTCATCCTCGAATCCTGGTGGCGGAAAATCCCCAGCTGGGACGGGTCGTCGGGGAGGCACCGCCAGGGGGTCGTCAAATGGGTACGGGCGAGCGGGTTGGGGCATCGGATCGTCTCGTAGAGGATCATGGCGTGGAGGTCTTTCCAGAGTTCTTTCGCGCAACGTCTCCTGTGGCTGGTCGGAATCTTCGTAGCCTTCTTTATACAGTCCAGGCGCCAGCTTCTGAATGACGTTGATCTTGAATAATCCGATCAAGTCCTGAATACGAGAGGGAGATATAAACGCTTCGCGAAGTGCTGCTGGGAGATCCTCGGCGGTAGGGGGCAAGGGAAGCGCGGATTCGGAGACATAGTCTTTCACCGGAAGATCAAAAGATGTCGTTCTGTCATCGCCCAAAGCCAAGGCGAAAATGACAGCATTATTTCCAAGTCGGCTAATCTTGAGCAGATATTGCATCGACGACTGTGAGTGGGCGTAGCGGAAGGCAAAGGCCGTGTTGGCGTTCCATTCTGCGGGGAGTGAGGGGCTATCGGATTGGTTTTCTGCGAGGTTGAAAATCATCAGTAGGGCGTACTTTATCACCTTGCAGTGTTCGCATCGCACGTACCTAGCGTGTGGTCTTCCCCAAGTCCAACTAAGCGAAAGCCGACTGCTGTCATGGACGCATGGCCGACTAGAGCGATCGCCTCGTATGGCGTCTTGAGGCTAGGCGGCGCGGCCCCATCTGCGCGAAGAGCTGTTGCGGCGATCGCCAACACACTGTCTGAGCTCAAGGAACCAGTCCTTTCAGCCATATTGATGGATGGCAAAGATGGTTTCTGAAGGGGGAAAGAGCGAGATGTGAGTGTGAAGATGTGTGTATTTAAGAGAGGACTTGAGGGCGCTTACGACTTCATTGCAGCCTGCGGAGAACCTCGTAATCTATGATTAGTCAGGACCGCGCCTTCCCAGATAGTTAACACCATCTACTATACTACAATCAATTTATCACTTCACATATTAGTTCAATGGTGCTAATACATTCAGAATACAACTACTAAGTCTTGACTTACTGGACGTTTTGCTAAGTCAATGAATGTCATCATAGACTGGGCCAGAGTTGTTTAATGATTTAGTTGTTACTACATATATATTTCACGACACATGATAGTATAATGATGAACTGATTCGATCAACCACTGTCCTAAGTTTCGACTCTACTAATTATATACTACCACAGCGTTTACTCCTTACTAGAGGATAACCTATAAGCATGAGAGTACAGAAAATGCTCGGACGAGGATCTGCCGATGATATAGGGGGGCAGCACCCAATTACGTTAGCCGACAAGGCTACTTGGGGTGACACAGGAGAGTGATAAGGACCATCCACCAAAGCAGTGATCCCAGGCGCTTCTCTCTTTAATAATCTCATGCTTGACATAGAGAATGGACGATTGGACAGCTGCGACGAAAATATTGCTTGAGCTATTTAAATACTTACAGCTTCAACTTTATTCCCAAACCCAAAGAACTCTCCGAGAATGTCTCAAGTCCGATAACCTTACTTCCTGCAGGAACCTGTGCCATAAGCCGACTGCTATTGGTGGCGGCATCTATCAATTCCTCGAACCCGTTTCAGAAGTACGAAGGCTTCTCTAAATGCTTATGATGGACAGACGATGGTAGCACGACCTCGAGGATCAGATTGGTTCAATGACCTTTGTGTACAATCACATCTTATGCAAAAGGCAGATGACCAATACCCGATGACTATAAACTATACCCTGTCCCGCAGGGCCTTCGATTAAAAATGCAATATCTACAACATCGCCTTGGGGAACTTCTTCATCGCCTGACGAACTCCCAGGTCGGCCAGAATCTCCTCCGTACCACCCAAGATGGCATCAAACTTGTATGTCCGGTGGAACATCTCAATGACCTTACCCATGCCAGTCTGGGTCAAACCCCGTCCACCAAAGATGTTGGTCGCAAGGTCGGCGATCTCCTGTGCGGAGCGGGTGGCATGAGACTTCAGCAGGCCGATGGGACCACCCAGATTAGCCGACTGCTGCGCATAGGTCATGTTGCACATCTGGTATGCAATAGATTCCAGCCAGGCCTGGTTCGATTCGCAAAGTGAGATCATCCGGGCAAGTCTGAGATATGTTAGCCTGTTAGAAACCCAACAACAACGTCGGAAACTTACTTTTGCCGCATAACAGGCTGCTCAATCAGCTTCTTGCCAAAGACGATGCGTTGGTTACACCACTTCATGCACTCCTCCACAACGGTCATGCACATGCGGATCACACTGCAACACATCATGAAGCGCTCGTGGTTGAAGTTGCTCATAATCACAATGAAACCCTTATCCTCCTCACCCAGAAGGTTCTCCACAGGGACCTTGACGTTCTCGAACTGAACAAACGCGGTGGCAGCTGCTGTCGAGTAGGAGGTCTTAATCTGCTTAGTCTCGACTCCTTCGTCACGGGGAATCAGGAGCACTGAGAAACCCTTTTCGGTTCGGCAGCCAGTGACAAAGTAGTCGCAGAACATGCCATTGGTGATCCATTTCCTGGAATAATCGTAAGTTCTTGTACCTCTGATCGAAGGACCGAGCTATACGTACTTGGTTCCGTTCACGATGAAGTGCTTGCCATCAGGGGTTTTCTTCGCGGTTGTGCGAAGACCAGCGACATCACTACCGGCGAATGCCTCGGTAACCGCCAGACACATCTTCTTCTTTCCAGACAGAACCTCGTCTGTGATCTTCTGCCGAAGAGGCTCATTGCGAAGCCACTGCTGGACGGCAGTCAAACTAATACACATGCCTGCCATGTTACCGTCCTGGAAGCCTGCTAACAGTCAGTACAATGTCCCACCGGCCCAGGCCACCATGAAGAGCCAACTAACCTCGAGCATTAGATCTCACCAACTCCTGGGAGAGCACCATATCATGCAAGTAATCGAACTCCTTTCCATCGATGACACCACCCAGCAGCTTCCGCCCGTGCAAGTGCTTTCCCGGACCCAAGCGCATTGCTAGAATTCCTGCCTCTGCCATGCGATCGATCAACTCCTGACTGATATAGGTGCCATCCTTCTCCTTCTCCTGTGCCTCAGGGGTAATATAGCGATCCGTGAACTCCCGGAGAGCTTTCTGAAGGCGGCGATGGCTGTCATTAAAGTAGGGGCTCTTGAATTGCGGACGCAGCCATAGAGGCTCGGCGTAAGGAACCTGGCTCAGGCTGCCGGGCTCGGGGGTGACAATCTCTGGGGTTTCGCCGGCTACCGTTCCAATGCAAAGATCCTTGTATTTCTCGAGGACTTCCTGTCGATGAAGATTATAGAAATCGACCGTGGCATCCGTGCCGGCGACTTGGTTCAAAACAACACTGCCACCGGGATGTGCGTCGATAAAATCGGTCAAATCGTACACGCGGTGATCGATAATGCACCAAACAGAGTCCTCCGTGTTGTGCTGCGCAACCTCGGCGCGGGTGAAGGTCTTCGACATGGTCGCGTTGTTGCTATGTCACAGCTTCAAATACCACAACAAAGAAAAAGAAACTCAGAACCTTGCGGAAATAAAACAAGGGCTGCAGAAGGAAGAATGCGGGGAAGTAAATCCGTCCACGGTCTGGTTTTAAGTCATTGTTGCCAATCAATGCGAGTGGATTAGTATCCCTTAAAGCATGCCCCGATGGGCCGAGGCTTTTACCACATTAGGAAAAGGCCGATCATCTGAAAGTTCACCGACACCACGGTTAGCTTCAGCTTTGGACCCTCTTCGCCGTTCTCATTATCGTCAATACCTTACAGAAATTCGAACTTGTGTCCCCAATAAAGGGGTCAATATTGCAAGATCCAAGACGCAATCGCGCACTGCCTGTGAAGCAGTGCCAGCAAAGTGAATGACCTGTCGTATATGCAGAATGGCGCGTGATGCTCACCATCAGACAATCGGCCAAGTTACCCGGAACTGCCTCGGTTATGCTGACATTGGAACGGACCACCACTGGCTCAGATTGGTGGCGTGGCGTCTGATCTCAATTATGAGAATTGACACAGCTGAGTGGCTCGAGCTTCTTCAGAGCCAATGACAGATAGGATGATAGGAATCTGGCCGCGATCGACTGCAGACAGAAAGTGTTCGACACTTTCATTATATCTAATGACCGCGAGTTATAACAAGCGCTGGCCTGATAAGCATTGAGATGTTAGCAGTCTACTATAGAGTCATTAATCCTACTTATGATATCTGTCATTTCCGCTGGTGGAATTGTTCTTTTCACATTATCACACTAAAAGCAGCACTCATCACGGTCTCTTTGCTACCTGCAGGATGTCCATATATAACGTTCGACAAAAGCCTAAACACATTATTCTTCCTCTTCTACGAAACCTCCAACCTCAACGCATCATACTGCACATACACCGTCGCCGGCAAAATCGCCGTCTCCGTATCCGTCGCATTATACGGGAGATGCAAGGTCAAAACGTTATTGCCGACTTTCAGCCAATCCGTCGGGAACTCCATGCGCGAGCGGACCTGATAGCAACTCACAGCCGACCGCACAATGCAGCTACTTGACTGTTTGAACCCAACTAGAAGGGTCAGGGGCTCCGCCT